CTTGAGGTCCCTTCCAACCCTGATATTCTATGATTCTATGATTCTATATCTGACTACCTTTCAGAGGTGCGTTAAGGGAGATGACTAACATCTATCACATACAGTTTTTACTTTTCTTCTCCCCGCCCTGGGGGAAATTGTGTGAAAAGTGTAGTTTGGAGGGAGGTGGGGTTGTTTTCCTTTAAAATAAATTATATGTGCTCTGTGTTATATGTTTATGTTAGCCAAGACAAAGTTTGAGAAGTGCGCCTTGCACTTGTAGCAAAAGGTGGTGATATTTGAGGTGGTTCTTATTTCCTGTGGAAATGTGCTCCATGATCCCAGACTGGCCCCGAAAAAGCTCCATCTCCTGTATAGACGAGTTTTGTCCTTGTGGTAGAAAGTTCCATTGTGCCAAAGAAGTGGAGTTGTTGGTCACATGGCCTGATTCTGGCACTTTAGGCAATCTCTTTGGTATTGTGGGGCCAGGCATGGAGCACCATAAAGATAGGAACTGAGATCTTTAATTTGACCTGGCATTCTATAGGGAGCCAGTACAGTGAGTGGAGGACTGGTGTGAGGTGCTTATGGCAGCCTGTGTTGCCGAGGAGACAGGCTGCATCGTTCTGTAGTAGTTGGAGTGTCCTGAGGCTGATGGCTTCATACCCTGCTAAAAAGCATTGCTAGACCAGCCAAGAGGTGACAAAAGTGTGTATATGTGAGGCCAAATGATCACCCACTGGGATGAGATGGAGTGGCCTAGCCATAAATGGTAGAATATGTTTCTTCTGGCCTTTGTTATGTGGGAGGTAAGTGTCCGAGAGCAACGCAGGAGCACTCATACCGAGCCACTGAGCAGGCTGTCCTGTTACATTGCTCCTGTTCATGTTGATGCTTTTACTGACTCTAAAAGCTCATTTCACTGAGGTACAAATCCCAATATTCATCTCAGTTCACTAACCCCATCTCTGGAATTTCTATCCCATAACCCACCAGAAATGAGTGAGCAGTCAGTGACCTATGTGGACCTCAGATTTCATACTCCTGCAGAGCAGAAGAGAAAACGAAGACCAAAGCACACCAGGATCATAGGTACTGTATATTTATAATCTCCTGAATCTATGTCTAACATTATGCTTTTAGCCCCACTCAAATCTCCTTCTTGAACTTTATCCTACAAACCCTAACGTTATATATCAAGAATCTGTGTTAGAGGTTTTTCTCAAATGTCAGTAAAACTATGTTGTTAGTTTTGTGTCAGTCTGTGTGATATAAAGGAGCCCCAAGAAATGCATAGTCTTCCAGGTATGGGAAAGAGTTGGCTTTGTGCCTACAAAGCCCTGGAATACAATTATTTGATTATGAAGTAATAAACCCTTGTGTCACAGGGTGGTACTGGCCCTTTATGAGGGAAGAGACTAGTTCACCTGTGACTGGTCAGCTGTCCCCAGTTGGTCTATAGGAGAAAGCACCTGAGTGGATTGCTCTGTGAGCCAATATTTTCCATCTTGAGTTGACTGTTCAGGTTTTCCAGAACTTCCATGGCCTGCAGCCTGACCATGGAATCTTTCTGTCAGTCAGCAAAGATTTGGAGCCATCACTCATGAGAAAGGTCTTTTGGACCTGAGGATAAGCATTCACACGGTTCCAGGCTTAACTACATCTTTGACCTCCCTCCAGCTCTTCCTTGAGGGCACCCACTGAAGATTTTGGCTTCCCAGCTCTCACATCTCTTGAGGCAGAGACCCACATCTTGCCTTCTGGGGGTTTAGGCTTGCAGTACCTCTGCACCTCATTGTGATTTCGCAGCAGGTCTGATCGGGAACCAGCACCTGCAGTTAACTCTTTTACAAGGGCTATAACAGTGTATTCCAGTTACCAACCAACCTTCAGAAAGCAAACTGTATTTATTCTTAGGGGAAAAGCATTAAAGAGAAAACATATTTTAAAACAATAAAAGAACCTATATGCATGCTAAAAGCTTACCTGAGGTCATCCCCAGCTCCAACACAGAGCTCTGGTAGGGTGAGTCTTTCAAACTCTTGGTCCCAAGTTTATGTCAGTTTTTATGATCAGAAGCCAGATACCCAACTGGATAGTTCAAGTGTTACTTTGTACAGCTCAGGCCTTTGATCTGCAGTTTCGGAGAACAGGTAATCCCAGTCAATGGCCCTCTCCTCAGGGTGTAGCTTCAAAAGGTCAGGTTTTTTTGAAGATAGCAGAAAATAATAAGAAACAAATGTTGTACTCACCACTTTACTATGTGCTTTCTGTCCATCCCATACTTTAACTAGCTACAGCCTTTGGGCCAAATCCTGATGTCCTTACTAAATTTTACTTAGTCTTACTAGGCCATTACTGCAGAGAAAAAAAATTCAGGGCCAGATTCTGATTCCTTTCCTTATTCATATTCACAGAATAAGATACAACTCAACATGAGTCACAATTAAAGAATCTGACTCTCAGAGAATTCACCCCTTGTTCTGTTCATGACTTATCTGAGAACAGGCATGAATTTTTTAAAAATGGGTTTCTATATGAAATTATTCAGTGTGTAGTTTATGTTCCAAGCTTGGAGTAGGCTGTCAACTATTTGCAGTGGCTACTGCTTCAAGAATTCACTATTCATACTTCGCTATTGGATCAATGTGATCGGTCACCTAAGTGACATGCTATTGTTTCTGCTTCCTAATTGGATGACTCTGATAAAGGTCAAATTGGAAATCTGACACAAATTTTGAACAATGTGTGTAATTAATCAATGGAACAGATTACCAAGGAATGTGATAATTCTCCACCATTTGGAGTCTTTAAATGAAGATTTACTCTCTTTCTAAAAGATATGGCTCAATTCAACCACAAGTTATTAGTTTTGGAAACAGGAATTACAGGGTGAGGTTCTATGGTCTGTGTTACATTACGCAGGAATTCAGACCTGATGCTCATAATGGTGACTTCTAGCCTTAACATCTATGATGTTATGTTCCCACCTACTGTGATGACAATTTCATAGAGCTGTCTTTCCATCCAGAAACCAGCGAGCAGGAAATAACCTACTCTGATCTGAAGTTTCACACTCCTTCAAAGCAGCAGAGGCAACAAAGACCTACAAGTGTAGAGAGCAAAGGTATTATGCACTATGAGCTTCTGGATCCTTATTTTCTTTTATCAAAGTGTTCATAGTCAAACATCCTCCTCCTTGTGTAGCCGCTGTCGATGGCCTCATGTTTAATAAACAATAAAATTAGAATTTTGTCTACTGTGGAAGGAAATGGCATGTTAATGGGAGCTCGCTTAGGACCACACTGTGCCAATGCCTGGGCAGAAATTGGGATGTGACAGATCTGGACTTCACTGTTTTCTCCACATCTTCTCAATTCACACAAGATTTGTTGAGCACATATTCAATAGCTCTTATTATTGGATTGGTTTAGCTCCATAGAAGTGGGTTCTGGCTTTGGTAGACTGGTGTGGCTGAGAGCTCTGATCTGATCCCATAGATCTAGTCATCTTTGCTTTCATTTTCTCTCTTATTTCTGTTAGAATCTCCTTCTCCATCTTCACCATGGCTCATTACAGTGATTCTGGGGCTCCTCTGCCTGGCTTTGCTAGTAACTGCAGGGGTTTTGGGTGACAAGTGTAAGTATTTGCCAAGAAGGCAACAAAACATTATCTGAACCATTATAATGTTTAGAAGGGATCTTCTAATAAGTATTTGAGTGATGTGTGTAAATGCATATGTGAGACACTGTCATAGTTTGCATTACTTTGTGAAAAACAACTGGTATTCAGAACCGGTAGCCTGCTGAGTTGTGATTTGAATTTTACCAGTAAGACACTTGAGAAGCTGAGATGCCTTTAAGGGTGTGTCTACACAGCATTTTGGAACAAGCAGGAGCAAGCTTTTTAGCCCAGGTCAAAAGACTAAGGCTAGCAGGGTTTGCACTAATGCTGTACAAATACCTATATAGAATACCTATGTAGCATTTTGAAGCTACATCTTGTATTGCGGCTCCAGCTCTGAATCCTAGGGAGAGGGGTGGTCCTAAGAGGCCTTCTGAGTTAAGACTAAAGTTGATTTGAAACTCTGACTACAGTTTAAATGTGGTTAGAAATGGCATCATGACTAGGACTGGGTGAATTTTTTTCAGTGAATATTTTATTAGCCAAAAAATGTATTTTTCCATGCACTAAATTGCCATAGCTATGCCGGCATAACCCCAAGTATAGACATGACCTACTACTCCTGAAATGATGGTAGTTGCATATGCTACGCACACCCTCCCCCGCCCCAAATGATGGTAGCTGCGTACCATTCTTCCATTTACATAGCTGTATCTGTGCTGGGGTTAAGTTGGCAAAATTACATGATTTAGTGGAATGTTTTTTTCACACTCCTGACTACTGTAGCTACATTGACCTATCCTTCCAGGGTAGACCAGGTCTTTCACTCAAGTTGTAGCAGTTCATGCTTTTAGCTCAGAAGGTCTCCAGTTCAATCCCCAGTGTGTAAGCCATAATGACAACTGTCACAATTGCTGTTAGCATCCTTATAATGCAAAATGCAAATGATTTATATAAGTGTATTGAATTTTGTTTTAACTGATTTCTTGGGATGTGGATTTAAGTTCTCCAGGCTTCCCATCAAGTAAGAAGACTCAATGAGGAATTTATCCAGAAACAGGCTATTCTGAAAAACTTCACACAATTGCAGAAAACCCTGAAAAACTGTACTCAGCAAAGAGATGATCTCCAAGCCAATAACACAGAACTCTCAAATGCTGTGAATAGGGAAGGTATCGATCAGAGATCACTCTTCTGTTATATCCTTTATGGTAATATTGTTGCTTTATCAGAATCCAGTTCTCCTTGTCTTTATTAACAACAAAAGTTACTTCCGTCGCTGTGCACAAAATGTACAAGGGTCTCATCTAAATATTAATTACATGGAAAGCCACAAACAAATCTTAGCAAAAATATGGTGTCCTAAACAGTGAACATAATAAATTATCCCTGGCTAACTAGCTTCAAAGTAGAGGAACCTGGGTGGCTCCTTCCCAATTTACATCTCTCAATGGTACAAGGGAAAGACACTGATAAACAGAGGGATTTTGACAAATGCAAGAGACAACTAGGCTGCTGCTATCAGGTTTTCATCCTAGTCAACATCATTGTTGCCATCACTTTGAAAATGAGGCCATGATGATGATGACTCATCTGCAACAGAAGCAAGTTGTTCAGAAAGGCATCTCATTGTTGCTACCTCCTGCCCAATTGCTCTCATTACCTTTCTTGTTCATTGTGATCTGAATGGAGCTGGATGGGAAACAGGTTTCCTGTCCCATGAGCACTTTTGAGAATTCAAAATTTTCCCAGTTCATGTTGGGATAAAACTGAGACCTTTCAAAGTTTTCCATGAAAAAATAGAGAAACCCTTGAGTAGCCAATAGCCTGGAGTTGAGGGGACTCATGCGGGATGAGGGAGAATCAGGGTTAAGTCCCTGCTCTGCCTGATTCAGAAAAGAGCCTTGACCCAAGTATCCCATATCCCAGGTTATTTTGGGGGCACCCACATCAGCTTCATCCTAGCTGGCAAGACAAACAGTACATTCCCAGGGAGAAATATACACACTAGCTAGTACACGGTGACATTCTGTATCACACTGCGTCGCACCCATCAATAGAGAAATATGATGGGTCTATATTGCTCTCTTTTTCAAGGAGATAAATGCAGCTCTTGCCCTGAGGGCTGGATACAGCATAGAAGGAAGTGTTACCATTTTACACATGAAAGGAGCTCCTGGGAGAAGAGTCGAGAATACTGCTCGTCTCACAGCTCCAGACTGCTGAGGATAGAGAACAAGGAAGAATTGGTGGGGAATTTACCCTTTGCCTTATTTTCCTGTATTTTCCAAATTACACCTGCCCAATATTCATCTGCTGGGGAAGTGGGATATGGGTATAAAATGAAAAATAACACTGGCAGGGTAAAATGACCCTCTAAACTGCTTGTGTTGTATTCAGAGCTGTGTCCCCAAGAGACACTGGGCAGATTTTGGGCACCAGAGAAGGAGTGAATCCAAATTTTATCTCTGACTTCAGGACTGATTAAAGGGAGTGTGATGTCCTAGCCTAGGCAGGGCCGGCTTTAGGCCGATTCAGCCGATTTGGCTGAATTGGGCCCCGCGCCAAGAGGGCCCCGCGCTGCAGCTGTCCACCCCGCCCCAAGCTCACTTCCCCCTCTTCCCCTCCCCTGAACGCTCTGCCCCCTCCCCTGCTTCAGAGAATCAGAGATTCGCGGGAAGTCTGAAAAGAAGCAGGGGCAGGAGAGCAAGACCCGCCCCCAGGAATCGGGCCCCGCTCTTGCTAAAGCAGGCCCTAAGCCTAGGGATTAGTGCTCTGCATAGCACGAGGAAAGCAGAAAGTCCATTCCTAGGGTCTTAGTCTCCTCTCACTCCATCGTGAATCAGGACTTCCTCCACTGAATTCAATGAAATGAAACCCATCTGAGAATAAAACCAAGCTTTGTCTCTCTTTAACAGAGGCTGGAAATGCTGTTGAGTTAGTGTTTGTGCTGCTTGGGAAGAGAACTCCTCATCTCTCTCATTAGCGATACCCCTGGCTGATGGGACAATTGTGTTGACTTGTTCTCCGGGGTATCCTATCAGTTCTTCTCAGCCAGGACAGTAGCTGTGATGCTTCCCTGGAGGGGCAGGTGCAGATCAAATTGGGCAAAAATCTCATAAAATCTATGGTTAACTATTTTGGAAAAAATGAGGTGTGATTGGCCAACGTATGGGCATTACGAAACACTGGTCCTGTTTGGGACACATCAACCTCATTCTCATCCCTGGTATCCATATACCTACCAAAGTGGATTGATGTAAATGATTTAGTCTTGTTCCCAAACAGGATTTCATAAACAGACTGGCGTATTTTCACTGGATTGGACTATTCCGTACGGGAGCTGCTACAAGCTGGATGTGGGAGGATGGCACAGCTTATTCCACTGAGCTGTAAGTCTCTGGCAGATCTAGAAGTTGTTCACTTGTGTTTTACATCCTTGTGCATTTCTTACAGAATTTGCAGTCTGGCACTGCTACTGAACATATAGAATTATTGTGCATTTTTGACTTCTACAAATTCTCACAGGAAGGAGTGGTGCTAGTTGGATTGTTTAAATCTAAATGAATAAACATAATAAAACAATTGAATAACATTAACGGTGGTAGGTGTAACTCTGTCAGAGCTACATACGAATATAGACATTCACAAATATTCTAAAATGGGACATTTCAAAGCTGAAACACTGACTAAGGGTGATGCCACCATTACACTTAATGAGGAAAAGAAGAGAATACCCTCCTACCCCTGAACATTAAATTGCACAACAGCTGCAGTAAATAGAAACAAGAGGCCTTCTCAGCTAAATTAACAATCTCACACTAAAAAAAATTCCAAATCGCAAAGAAATGCTTTTCATAGCTCATCTTGGAGGACATGTTATTCTGAGAAGTGAAATTAATAGGTAAGACAAGTTAACTCCAATATTTAGGCAGCCAAATGCAATGACACTGTTTGTGATTTAAAAAAAATGGCATGGCTGAGTGTTAAATGTAGCTTTCCACCCCAGGTTCCAAGTAAAGAGGAAAGAGCCTGGAGCATCCTGTGCACTTTTGAAGGCAGGAGAAGCCACCTCCTATAATTGTACTGAACAATATCGCTGTATTTGTGAGAAGAACGCTGCTTAGCTGAAGCCTGCTGAACAACACAAGAAGATCACAGCATCCGTCAGACACATATCCTGGGATGTTCCAAAGAGAAAGAGAAATCACAACCCCTTCGATTTGCTGTGTTACCATTCAGACTGATGGCTGCAGTTTCAGGTGATAAAACACACAGCAGACTGTCAAGAAGCAGGGCAGAAACCCCAAACTGGAATCTTCTCCAGCCAACCAGAGCACTCCCACCATACTGAATGACTGTCATTCCCATTTGGGTTGATAAGAGTTGATTTCAGAGGCCATTAGTGCAAATATTAATAAATACTTTGTAAAAAATATAGAGTGTTGTTTGTGCACTGGGTGTTTTATGGAAAAATACAATTTGCCCCAAAGAGCTTACAGTGTAAATTCAAACAAAATACAATCAATGAGGCTCATACAGAGACAAAAGAGGAATGGGAGAGGAAGAGATTCACCATCTTGGTGACTGGGGATTGAGCTGGGGATGTCTAGAGCTAAAAGCCTGAGTTAGAGAAATAATTCCCCAGCTGGCAGCTGTAACACACTCACATACTCTGTGGGTTGGGCACACAGGGGTATGTGTCACTCACACTGAACAAATATCAGAGGGGTAGCCGTGTTAGTCTGAATCTGTAAAAAGCAACAGAGGGTCCTGTGGCACCTTTAAGACTAACAGAAGTATTGGGAGATATTGGGAGATCCCAATACTTCTGTTAGTCTTAAAGGTGCCACAGGACCCTCTCACACTGAACAGTGGGTTACAGATTTTCCCTGAACAGAGAAAGCTTGCCTCAGGCTCACAGCAGTTTGAATCCAAGATCAGCTTCAATTTTATAGCATGTGCAATCTTGGTTATGACCACAGATTGAACGGGAGGCCTCCAGAGCTAACATCATGAGTCTCTACAGCTTGAGATGTGCTTAAACAAATGAAGTGCTTAAATTTGGCACTGTCACCCTGTCTGGAGTGGCTCACAACCATGAGTGTCAACCTTAGGGCAGGCTGTCAAGCACCAGGGCAGAGATCCGAAACTAGCTGTGTGTTCTATAATTAGATTTCACAAACCCAGTAACAAGTGTGAACTCCTAAAGCACTATAACTGCCTTACTGTGGAGTCACAGACCAGTCCCCTGGGAAATTCCAGTCTATCTTGCCACCCAGGCAACTGGACTATGTGATAATTGATTACTTTATCAAAACCACAACACTATTCAGGTTACTCCGAATAGCAAAGGACCAGTCTTGGAGCTTTGTGCTTAATGTTGGGAAAACAGAGCTGTCCCTCCTCCCCTCCTGTTTGTGCATGTTTGTGGATACTCGTTCAGAGTCCCAGTCTAAATGTGTTTGAAGCTATTCTCTGGAATGTTCACAGTCTCCTTCAGCAACCTGTTTGTTCAGAATTTTTTTAACAAGAATTGAAATGACAATTAGAGATGAAGGGCTGGATTCGTAGCTGGTGTAACTTGATATAGAGCCACTGAAGTCAATGAAACTTCACAAAATCATACCAGCTGAAGATCTTGCCCAAGTTGGTCTTAGTTGCACAGGGCCAGGTTAGCCCCTGCTAGCCTCAGGATCAGGGAGAAGTCAGCAGGCCAAGTCCTTCCAATGCTTCCCTCAGGCTTGGGCCCTCTGTGGATCAGGGATCCTGTCTTTTTGCTGGATCAGGAAGAAGGCTCTGAGCCTGTTTAAAACCAGGCTATTTATTGAGTCTGTAGAGAATCCAGTTTGAACTAATATGTGGCAACCTCTCCACGTGGCTACAAAGGGCTAATGACCTGCAGAATTATATTAGCATCCCCCTGCTTC